TATATATATATATATATATATATATATATATATATATATATATATATATATAAAACGTTTAAATTTATGTACCAGCTTCAATGATGTATGGAAATAAGCATACAAAATGGACAAAAGAAAAAAAAGCGAGACGCCATGATCCCAATGTAGACTAATAGTGAATGCGTTAAAACTGCGAGATTTGCCGTACCTATCAACGTGTCACAAATCACTTGTTCTAATTGTTCTTTATCTTCGCGACGCATGAAATCTTCAGAGACAGATCCATTGTTAGGATTGCGAAAGAGATTCGTCTCAGTGAACTGGTGAAATGGATCATCCAAAAAAGCAAAGTATTCTAAATTCTTATCGTTATCTTAGTGAATCATTGCATTCAACAAGCTCAATAGAATCACAAATACAAATCATTTACGGATGAGAACAGTAAGGAATAAAATTCAAGATAAACATATTTTAACAACTAGAACAAAATATAATAGAATCATATCACATGCTTCTTGATGATAGATTCTTTTTCTCCTTTTAGCGGTAGCCCTATCACCCCAAATGCTCAATGTGCCATAGAAGGATCCAACTCGTCATTACGAATTCAACGTCGAAGACCTTTACTATGCCAGTGTAACAGGATGTGAAAACTACAAAGCGAAATCCTCTATCTAATGGTAACCATTCAGAACTTTTCAGCTCGTAATATAATAACAACTACCAGGTAATCTGTAATTGACAAGCCAATCAAGACATTTCAGATCATCAGCGCCGTTTTCTTCTTCAGATCTGTCGTCCACTTCATCAGTTCTTCGTCCTTCATTCTTTTCTGTTGTACCCACTACTTCAACTGGCATCAAAAAGAGATCATTACTTCCAGTGAGTTGCTTCCAAAGAAAATCTGGAAACGAAATCTTCAAATATGTAGTTAAATTGATTCTTTGACATAGTTATTATCCACCAACTCTGACCCGACCATCTACGCCAACTTGAATCTCAACAATGCCCACATTTCCGACAGTTTTCGCCAGTAACCTGAATTCCTTCTTGGTACCTCGCTACTAGGGATACCAGAATAGACCACGCATCCAGTGCAGAAACCTTCCCCACCCCATTACCCCCCGTCTTGGAATTGTTGATTTATAACGGAAGCTGCGAGTGAAATTCAACGTCTCAAACTGGTTCATCGTCAATGTATTGGGATATGGATGCGACATTTTCACGTCGGGTTCGTTTCTTCCTACTCGTCGATTTGCTAGTTTGCTTGCGAATGCTTTTTGTTCAACACTCGGAAATCAAATTTGAATTTTGCGAAAATTTTGTAAGAACACTACTTCCTTCCCTATCCACGAACATTTTATAGTGGTAGAGAATTGTAGCAAGCAGTCAAAAACATATATTTGTCACAGTTGCGGCAGCACAATAATGAGCGAACATAATGATTCAACTTTTGTTAATTAACGACGTTAAGAACTGCTTTTTGATGAAAAATCTGTGGTAGTCCTATTGACAAAATAAATACAAAGGCTTTATCGTTCTTTGGAGCTACTATTGGGTATATTAATTAAATGGACATAAAAAGATTAACTGTGCATGTTATTACGAATCTTAACAGGTAATGTTATTCCATCAGCACGTCAACACTGCCACAGCAGAGACGCTCTTTGTTCCCTTTCGGAAACTGTGGAAAAAGTCTGGAAACTGATTCTTTCGAGGAGAACTGGAGTTGGAGAAATATTTAGAGGAGTGTGTTGTCTGTCCTTTGACCAACAATGATGTCTTTCTTTAGGTATACCTGTTTAGGTGTTCCTTTTTTGTGATTTTTTTAGATGTTTTAGGTTTTTTTTTTTAGTTTTGGTGTATCTCATAGTTCAGTCTGTTGCAGTTCATGTTCTGTGTGTTAAAATGAGTTTCACAGTTATAATAAGATATCAATGAAAGGCCATACACAATTCCAACAGCGCTTGTTAGATAAAATTTTAGGATCAGTTTACTTTCATATCAGTTGTTTTCAACAGTAACACAATGGGCGAAGGTCTTCATTCTTCACACAGTGGCTTTGGTTACCGTAAGCATTCAGTCGAACGATCTAAATTAACAAAATTACGAAAATTGAAACAGTCAAAGATGTAGACATTGTTAGGGTTAAGCAATTTTTTTCGCTAATTACTCAAATAAAATGAGAAGAAAAGGATAAAGGGTAACCTTTCCAAGTATTTCGAAACTATTATTATTCTTCAACACTTGCGCTTCGTATTTTCCTTCACTTGGTAAGGCGCTAACCACTATTTTCTGCAATGGTTGTTCCTTGAGGTATTTTGCCGAAATTACCTTAAAGAAGAATGTTTCAACTGACGTCTTTTGTTTCTCTCCACTTTAAAAATTATATTCATTTGTTAAAACTTGATACTTTAAAAGATCACCAAGAATTTCCGTTGTAAGAAAAACAAATAAGATCTCTTAATGGTATATTGCAGCTGCGATAAAGGATCTGTTTAAATTGCCAGTTAGTATTAAATTATAATGAGAAGTGCGACAAGATCACCTTGATGTCTCCTGCTTATAGATTATTTCTTAAAATGAATCTAATCAATTTCAATATGAAATCTTCCAATATCATTTAATTACTCAAAAGTTATTTGGCGACAAAGTATTCATTTCGCAACTCTTTGACCTCTCAAAAACTATCCCATGCGACAGTTTGGTTTGGTAAATATTTAAATTGAAACTATCACTTCTTTTAAATAAAGTGTTTTGCACGTTTCACGTTTTCTTTTCAAGATGTCATTGATTGTATCGACAATGAACTGCGCAGCTTTTTTGACATTTTCGTTGTGAGTGGTGGTCTTGCGCCACTGTTTTTCACAGATACAGAATTGATCCGGAATTTCCATCTCTTCACATGTTCTACAAAACTGACAGAAACTTCGCAATAAATCAAGGGACAATTTATTTGTATCTATGACGACGAAAAAGTTGTAGTGATTGTAGCTGACTGTAAAAACAGTGATTCTCAATGTGCTAACTAACCTATCGTATCGAATGGGCCTTAGAAGACTCTTTGCTCGGATTCCACCTCTTACCTTGCCAAGTTCCTCGCTGCAATATAGATAAGTGTCTTGACAGTTCATGAACAAAAGCAAACTCAATTTTAAAACTTTCAAAGTAACAATGAATGAACATTTTCAACTCTTCTTCGCGGGCTACTTGCAAGCCAAGTCTGTAAATGGTACAGCTCTACGGCTAACGGAACCAAGAAGAGGCAATGTAAATCGGAAAAATAATGAATGCTGTAATTTCCCGATTAAATTTCATTGGGATCAGCTCGTTAATTTTAGAGTAAAAAAATCAGACAAGTTAATATGAGCAGTTCGTCAATTGTGTGCGAAACAAAACCAAACATCAGAGCAAATTCAGCAAACCTAAAATCATGTTCATCCCATTTCTGGAAACTCTGTCTCCTTGCATATCGTGCTATATCGTAAAGTGTTGCGTAGATGTCATAATGAGATGTGTGTCTTCGAGAATTTTGTTTCAAATTCAAAATAAGCTGCCCATTTGAACGCAAATATTGTGGTACTGCTATCTGAAAAAGGAGGAGGTTGAGAAATGCATATTTAATGTATAGGGACACAGTGATTTAAGGCTAGATGTAATTTGTGGCGAAAAGTTTTGCGATATAATTATGAAATCAATATCAGTCCAAAATAACTGTGAAATCAATATCAATACAGGAATAACTATGAAATGGATATTAATTCAGGAATAGCTATGAAATGAATATTAGTTCAAAATGTGAAGAGAAAAAAGCAATATTCATCTCACGCTGTTGTTAGTGTTTTGCGAAAGAATAAACATTTACCATAAGCAATGGATTATTGTCTTCTTGATTTCCAGTATCAGTTCTTCGTATTCCCCCAAATCGTAATCCATGATCACCCATTACAAATACGAATGAGTGTTTCAAATTGTCTACATTTTTACGAAAAAATTTGGCGAAATGCTGAAAATTATGAAATATTAAAATAAATTTTAAATAAACAAAGGTCTCTTGATTTCTTTTGCTTTCATCGTCACATACAGTATCAGTTCTTCAAATCCTGCCAGAATGTAATCTATGATCACGTATTGCAAATAGGGAAGAATTATTCAAAAGCTAAATCCAATTTTAATGATGATTTCATTCAAAAAAATTTCTTTCTAAAAAGTGAGCAATGATAAGAATAGCCAACTTTATCAGCTCGATATAATCCACTGGCTGAACTATGAGCTAGATTTGTTATCCACACCAAAGCAAATTTTGAGAATCCCTTATATTCATCTAAGAATTTATCCATAAAATCCATAAGTTTGTGATAGTGTTCGTGACATTCTCCTCCATAGAAATGAGTTTTGAAATCCTTTTGAACCTCGTTTTCTTGATTCGGCCGACGCACCAAGGCACTTCAGAGGAACTGATTAGGACTCTTGATGTCGTATCATGAGAAATTTTGCATGTTTTTTATTGATTTACTTCAAACAATTTCCTCTGACTACTTCATCTATTGAAACGATGGCAAATCGATGTAAAGATGATTCTAACTGATCGTTCAAACATGTCACATCGAAATTAATAAACTATTTTTGGCTTACAATCTTCTAAGTAAAGCTTGCAATAATAAAAAAATGGCAGCTATACTGTCTTTGATACTTCTTCACCCCAAAAGAATTAGAAGTTCCAGTGATAGAAATTAAATAAAAGTGAGCAGCAATAACTTATAATTGAACCCTAATTCTTTTTGATTTCCATAGTTTTAAAACAAATGATTTACCTCCCATAATGATCGGTTGGAGCTTTGGGGAAACCATGACAGTTTGGATAGGTGAACATGCTTGGCCAATCTTCCGCCATTATTGATGCATAACTTTGATTGGTAAAATCATAAGTTACCGTTTCGTTCAATTTGACACCCTGCTGAAATACCAGAAAATACAACGTATTTATTGGTTTCAGCCTATTATTATGAAAATTAGCTTCATCCTTTGAAGCAAGGGTGCTACAGCTGACTACAAATTCAGCTAATTTACTAATTTATAATCTATGCAAGTCATAAAAAGGCAAATATTATGACAAGACTTTTGTTTTATGAAGTAACTTACTTATTAATCGTATAAAAAAGGATTCCTGTTTATCATAATTATTACATCACGGCGTATTATTAATCATTACACGTCCAATAACACTTAGTGATATACTTCACTTATCACTTTTTCAATTTTTTATCAGTTTAACAGATTGAATTAATTGTGATACGATTTACCTTACAGAACTGTGGATGCTCTGCATTACTTCTACCAGGAAAAAGATTCGCATCTAAATCAATGGTACGAGTTCCTGAAATGAAATGGAAACGAAAATTCGACTTTGTCAAACTTTATCAAAATTTTCTGTATGATTTAGTCAAAGGCGCAAATTTATCCCTCATTTAATAGTAATTATAAAGTTAACTTTAGTAATCAATAGTGTGGGAAAGATCAAATAAGCAGTGAAGCAATCGAGTGGCTGTGAAAGTGTCCAAACTAATCAACAAAATGTAATGCAAGCAAAGACCTGAAAAAATGGCGTAAGCATTTGGTCGACTGTTTAAGCCAATTTTGTTGTGATAATAAAATGTTATTGCATCGTAAAATTGATAGAGAGCCTCAAAATTATGATATAAATTTCAACAAATCACTTCATAGTTTCTCTGCTTTGTAGTTTTGTTCAGCTCATTATGCTTCAACTGATTTCTCAACTCAGATTGCAGTACAAGTTCATAGGTGAAGTTAGAATAATCTTCCACTGCTTTACTGTTTGCTGCATGCAGTCATCGAGAATAAATAATTAACGGTAGATCTACTAACTTCAATCAAACTTGGATTTATTATTTCCAACTCGGTGCATTCCAATGGCCATTATTTGTGCTCAGCAGTGGGAAAAATATTTAATCTTGCGTAATTTTGCAAATGTACCAATAATATTAAACTTACTGAATATAGAAATTATTAGAAAATGTACGACAGGTGGTAATGAATAAAACAATTACAATAAATAGAAATCAGAATATATTCGGAAAATTACCTGGTTAGTTTTAACAAGTGTACGAATTTCCGAAGAAAGTGAGGTAGAGTCGAAGATTAAAATGAATATCCCGGGATGTAAGTTATCCTCCTTCTGGAATATCTTCTGTGTTGGTCGTATTACCTGAAAAATCACTTATCACACACTTAACAACGCATTCTGATGAAACGTATCAGATGAAATTATTAGTCGAATTGTTTTCAATAATTAGCACAGGTACAATTCTTTGTCATAATTTCATTTTTCCTTTCACATTGAAAAGATTTATCGATTCATTATTTGAAAGTATTTCGAAGTTTTTTCTTGAGGTGAAAACGGACAAAATCAGAATCAACGACAAACTGCAACTGACTGAAATAGAACCCGAGGAATGGAATCAACCTGAACATGAATGTAGCGAAACGTGGTCTTGTTTCTTTTCCAGCAATGTGTTTCAATAAAATCACAACTCTCATAATATGTTGCATTTTTTTCCATTTTAATCCATTCACCGCTTGTAAAACTCCATTCACCATCTTTGTAAAGGCATCGATACTCACAATCTGATGTCCTAATCCATAATTTAATAAACAAACTGATTTAAATTTAAGGCTTTTCTTTGAAGGTATATTTACTTCAAAATAGGAATGTATGTCAAGTGAAACAGAAAAGAGCGAGTGTAGGACATCTGAAATTTGAAGACTACATCCAGATGTCTCGTAGTGGATCTACTAGTAAAATCTTCGATCGTTATTATTAAATTAAGATATATCTGTCTGTATTAGATATATCTCTAGATTTCTATTGATGCTCGCATCTGCATGCATGCATGTTTGTGCGTGCATAATTTAACAAACATTTTATACATACTTTCTTTTTTTTTTTTTTTTGGTTTTAGCCGAGTCATAAAAACAAAATTTGTCAGATAAAATTAGGATAAATTCATGTCATAGAACCCATTAACGGAATAACAAAGCTAAGGTTCGATTATCTTTACGTATTATCAACCATTCGAATTGTGCCGTTTTTTAATTCTGTATGCATAACACGAGTCACTTGGCATGTTTTGAAAGGATCATAATCCGGATACAGGTAAGGTAATACTTCAGGATTCCAAGGATCTAAATCCATGAGACGACATCTTGTTGTATTATCCTTTTCAAAACTTATGTCTGTAAAAAGTAATCGATTTGATGCAAACTTTTTGAATACTTCTAATTGCATGTATTACATCTAATTACATAACACTATTCTATACTCTTCATTTTCATTACTTTTTCTTTCGAACTATTCCACTTTAATTTTCATCAATATTTAGCTCGGACTCTCCAAGACCTATGCCAATATCAATTAATAGTTTCGAAAACTGATCAATCAATTGAAAATATAGAATTTAGACAAAAATATCTTCAGAAAATGGCGAATAAAACATTACTAATTTTGAGGAAGGAAGCAAAGGGTTGCCGCATAATTATCTTAGAATCGGTGGCAAACAAATAGAAATTAAATATCACAATAAATAGGCCAGTGAGAAATGTAAATATGATAAGGGGTTTTATCGGTTTCAAATTCATCATATATGCTGAAATAATAATAATTTGCTGGATATAATAAAATTTCGTTTTACACACCTATAAATTACCAACTAATGAGTCTAATTTCTGAACTACTGTAAATTTCAGATGGTCACTTGGGTCAATACTGGAGTCAGAACAGTCACCAAAATAGATCATTTAGTTTTATGGATGCCTAAATACAAAAAGTGATCAGCGTTTCGGATATCACCTAGTTATGTTTTGATGAATTTTTTGATTAGATATGAATGAACTGAATTTCATTTCTGAGGAATAAATGAAAGAAAAATATTTGAAAGTGAGCGCTCTTTTCCCTATTCATTTATATTTCTTGCTATGAATCAAACTGTTTTAGTTTTCGAAATTTCAGAGAAAAATTGTTCTGAAAGCTGGAGGGTTGGCTGAAATATCAAACATTGATTTAATCAGTGGAATGTTGACTTCACAATGCACAAAATTGTTCTATTGACGTAATTAATTTGAAAATGTGAAATGCGACTTTAATATGTAAATTTTTTGTAAACCTAACACAAATCAAAGTTTGCATAGAAATTATGTATTTGTCTGAAACAGAAACATAAACAAATTCTAGAAACTTGAGAAAGTGTTCTTTGCGTTTTGATTCTTTAATTGTCCACTAATGCCATCATATAATTATTGCACAACCTTTGCAATTGCAGAAACCAAATCTGTGTGCATATTTTTTTAAGTATTTATTTTCTGAAGAATAACCAAAATGGAGCAAGCAATCAGGTTGAAGTTGAAGTTGGGCGCAGTAAGAACCGCCTCATGGACTGAAGCAGCTTTTTGTGACAAATAAGCAGAGCAGAGCAACGTTTATTCTTAATAGTCCGTAATATTTTCACTAAATTTCATCAATTAACTGATCGGTTTTTACACATTTTCTTTCTTATACATTTGTCGTTGACAACAGAAGTGAACATAGCGTAGTGAAGTATGTGACACAGTATGTGATACCATTACGTGACACACTGCATGTGAACTTATTATGGGATAATTACCGATGGATATGACACACAGTAGTTCAAAAAGAAGTGAGCAATTTCGATGGAATAAATTTTGCAATTTTTTCTTAAATTTTGTATTCTATAAAATTTCATCTCAGCCTTTCAAGAAATTTCAATTGCTCTTTGAAGTGAAATAGATATAACACATCCCGATGCAGCTTAGTAAGAGTGTAATCGTCACAATATATTTTGAGGACAAGAAATCAGTAAGTTAGTACAATTTTAAAATATTTGCGTTTGAAATTATTCATGTATAACTAAAGAGAAAATGTTTTGTGAACACTTTTCAATTTCGCTACAATTTTTTCCCAAAAAATTTTCCATTTAATTTTTGTTTGCAACAATATGTTTTCAATGTTTTCAGAGGCTGTGTTTATTTATAGAAGAAATTCTTCAAAATCACAAAGGAATTGGCAAATATGTTGAAATAATCACATAACATAACGAATAGGTCTCCTGGAAATATTGAAATTTCTTCAAAACTTTTTCCACTTTTCAACTTCTGTTTAGAACAGTGTGATGGCCAAACGTCTTCACCAATTGCATCTATTCATTTACAAGCCGAAAACATTTCCAAAATTTACGAATGAATTAGGAAATTGTTTGCCAAACTTTTTATTGAAACTTTCCCTGAAAATTTTCTGTTATTTAATTTTGCTTTGCAATAACAAAACTGACATAAAGAATTAGGAAGTTGACATGAAAATAAATCTTTTAAAGCAATAACTCCAAAAATTCATCACTCACAATTGGACAGAAATGAATCACTCTGAGATACGGGAAGTTGACAGTACTTCCGTCTATGTCATTATCCACTCACTGACCAGAAATAAAATTTATTTTATAAAATTCTCCTATCTGGGCAATAATTTGGTACGATGAATGCAATTCTTCGCTATTTTCTGAAATGAATATTTTCTATTTTCTGAAATATTTTCGCTATTTTCTGAAATTGATGAATAATAAACATTCTTCATTATCCCAATAGCTCAACCGCTGTAATAAGTGGAAACCAAAAAGTCATTGGGAAATGAAGCCAAGTATTATGCAATTTCGAAATGAAAAGTGGGGAAAAATTTAAACATAACAGGACAGATATTCCACAGCAGTTGAGATAATGGAGTTAAAGATTAATAGCATGAAAAGAAACATCTAAATTTGAAATTAGAACTGAATTATTTCACTAACAATGAAATCATTAACAAAAACATTCACCGACATCTTATCAGTTAGATTCGTTGTTTCTGATATAGAACTGAACCCATAACTTTCCAGGTTTCTCAACTCTTTTTGTAAAAAAATTCTTCAGTTGTAGGATGATAAAAATTTCAGGCAATCGATAGAAAGTGTAAATCTACTGAAAAGATTTTTTCTTCCAAATTATTCGTGCGAAATATTTGCAGAAAAGACAATTTATTCGCATTGAAAAAGGTAAAATAAAAGTATTATCGATTTAGGCATATGGCATTTTGCAAAAGACTGATTGATTAAAAAATGTTAAGAAAGATAACAAATAATGAAAACAGATCAAACGAATTTCTTTGTAAAAATGATAGAAATAAAAAACAATAAGAAGTTTACAGAAGAATTTCTTGTGATCTGAAATTCTTCACATTTCATAAATCTCATTCAACCACTAAATTTCAAACAAATTTCTTCCGCATCTCCAAATTTATTGGATTTAAGATTGTTAAAGAGTGATAGGAGCTTGTTGAATGGCCATTATATAATTATTTATAAGCTATATCTCTGTGTCACTTACAATTATAACGATACCAAACGTTTCAACCTGTTCTCTTCCAGATCTCATCATTGACATAACATTAACTAAATTACGGTAATAGCAGTAGACAGCAAATATCTTATGAACCTGTGATGAAATTCATGTGTTTTCATGCACAAAAAATATGGAATAATAATTATTCAAGTAAATTTGATAATTTCAAAAAACGGAGGAAAAATTCGCAAAAAAATGGTTTTAAACAAACGGTAAAATGAAAACGAATGAAAGTGCTTGGTGATCAGCTTCTTGGATACAGTTCTAATCAACTTTCTTGATCAGAAATTGGTAATGATCGCAGGTAAATGTTACACAGATCCCTCATGAATCCCTCACTTTTTTCTTCTAAGAAAAACTGAGGAATACATGACAGTCTTCTTAAGATTAATTAATCTAGCTTTCTTCAAATAAAACGATGAAAAGAATCCATTATCAGTGAATACAAAAAAAAATTGGAACTTTCAACAAAAAGCGCTCAAGTGAGAAATGAACTTGAAATAAAGTAATGCAACTATTTACGCTTTCCCCCCCACTTCTTCCGGTGGGCATTTAATTTAATTCAACACATTCTGAAAAATATGCTTAATCTTTCGAAACGAAGAAAACAGTTCTTTGATCATTCGTTGCGCTCTTTTTTGTTGTCGTGTCGGAGTTCATAAAAGTAGTTAAGATGTATTGAAGCACTGAATTTATTAGTTGTATTGCAAACAAAATGCTTCTCACTCATCCACAAATGATCATTCATATTCCAGCATTTATTCGATGAATTACACAAATCATTTAGTAACGACAAAAAAAGGTAAGTCAAAAGTTAAATCGAATTTCTAGCAAAATTATGTGTAAATGTATTAGTTCCGCAAAGGAAAGGAAAGAAAACTTTAATGAAATAATGAAAAAAAACATCTTGAGAAGTGAGTTTCAGAGAATTCCTCGAATTTTAATATTACCACAGATGTTAAACATAGCACCAATTATTCTCTTTGAGTCGATTCCAGCATTACAAAGATTAGCAAACACGTACGTGTACTTTAGAATATATGGATTCTGAAAACAACGAAACGCTTAGATAAACAAATTGTCATTCTTCTGATAGTGTGAAGTGACAGTTTCATTACCTTAAACAGTCTTGCATTAAAGTAATTCGAGAGTTGGACTGATTTTCATTTAAATTGGAAATCGATCATAACTCTTAATTTAAAATTCACACCTACTTTTAAAAACCAATTTGTGGAACATTACGTTACATGCTAGCAAAAATCTTCCTTTGATATCTATTTTTAATAATTATGTGCTACATTTATATTTATTTAACATGACCTTTTTTTCAAGGAGATAGTAAAAATTAGTGGGTGTTGACCAAAATCAAACTGGCTTAAACACAACATTTTGAGATCTGCAAGTAAAATATAATAAAGAGGAAAAGGAAAGAAGCATACATGGCCAAAATTGAAGCACAATTGATGGAATGCTTTGATTACATCATCAAAACAGTTTAAAGACTTTATTGTTGGCGGTGATTGATGCATGAAATGAGAGTACGACTGATATGGTATTATAGTCGATATCAGTGACTTGATAAATGTTTCAAGGTATGCTCGTTTCTGAAATAGAAGAGATTCTGTCAGACCAACATTTTTGTTTTCAATGTGAGATAAATTCGAAATTCTGAGTAAATAACTTATCATTTTTAATTTGTCGATTTTATGCCTCAAATTTCGTCGTTTAGTCTCCGTTTCTGCCTCGTGTAATTGCTTCTTGAGCATTCGGAGGTAAATTTCACGCGAAGGCCAAGCAACTAATTCTGTATTTTCAAACTCCATCTATAAACCTTTAAAATTTTAGCAAAAATATTGACGCTGACTAAGAAAACATCCGCATGTGTCAAAACAGCCTAATACAGTATAATGCGCTGAATATAAGCCATTTTTAAATGTTAGTTGTGTGACATTCGAATGTTTAAATAAAGGGTTTTGTTAACTAATATCGAAGTTTTTTCTATTAATTTGAATTGGAAAGATAGCTAGGCCATTCATATTAGACTACTAGGCACTATCTTAACAATACGGAGGCAAGACCAATTCCCATTATCGAATATTCAAAAATCATATACCAAATCATCATAAATATTCGTGATATTAGTTTTTTTATCGCCCAAATAATAAGCCACATAATCGCGGGCAATTTTCAAATCACCATAATGCATCACATGACTCAAATTTGTTTTTTGTTTGATAATTTTGAATTGAGAAGCTAAAGTTTCACAGTTCAAATCTTCCTGTAAAAGAAGAAATTAGAAATCACTCTTGCTATTGGAATAATTTATTTTCATTGAAATGACAGTGATTATCCTGGACTGATCTTCATGAATATATCGTTTTTGCCTCTATTTATCAAATTTACAAATTGCAAAAGTATTTTTATTGGCTGATATTCAATTGTTTTGGCGAAAAAATCCATCCATATTTTTTGAGATTTATAGGAATGAAAAATCAATGTGCGAAAGAATTATTTCCTCTTTATTCAAACCTTTTCAGAATCGACGATCCAATTTACAGAGAAGCAGTCGCCAAGGCAAGGCAATTTCATAATATTGTCACAGTAGCAACCCCAAGAACTTTCATGCGAATTCGCCGCTGTTACTGCATAAACTGCAACAAATTTGCAATTATTTGTGTCAAATTTGTAATCATCTGTTCAAATTTGCAAACAATAGTGAAAGCAAAACTATTATATGTGCAGTACAGTTTTTTCTAGTGATAGGCTGATTCTATGGCTGTGGGCTCGTAATGCAAATGGCTAAGCCAACCAATTTGACAGAAGAGTCTTAGTCTTTCCTAATTCATCTCAATAGAACGTATCTTCGAAACGATAAGGCTATTATCATAATAACAATGGAAATTTTTTTTTAAAGCAACCATCGATATTTTTGGGTAGAACATTCTCAAACATTGAGCCACTTTCGCATGCTTCCATATAAAATACGAGCCTTTTGAACTTTTTTAATTTATGCATTCGTTTCAATTCGTCATTTAGATCCTTAACAGTTAGCTGAAATAATAAACATTTAGTATTTGGATCGTAAAATTGGGGAAATGACAAACATTGATGAACGATTGCTTATCGAAAATGTCGCCAAAAGTTGAATCATGAGCATACCACAGAATCTGGGAAGGACACTGATCCAACACCTCCATGGTCAGTGAAATATACAAATATATGATCACGATGAGTACTTTCTACTACTTTCCCACTACCACCTTTTACCGCTGTTTTGTTTCCACTTAAAACTGCTAAGAAATTTTCCGGAGTGACATGAATTCTGGAATAGTCGATTTCAACACCTGCGTAAACGTCTTTGCCATTAGGTACATTATATATTTTGCCTGGATATGGATTCCTGAAAAATTATTTTCTGTACAACATGAAATCTTACGACTGAAATTGTTAGCGCTTCCCAATGGCTTTCCAAAGTGCTTTCATATTTTCAAGTTTATATTAATCAACTGATGCAACCAGTAAAGCAATAAAACGGTCAGCTTGTTTAGCCGATTAGCTAGAAAGCTAACCAATCATTCGCTTATTTCCAGTAACATTGAGAAAAACTTACTCTTTATCATAAGCGATATCATCATACATCATTGTAATGATTTTTTTTTCGGAATACCGTGTTTTCTAACAACGTGATAGGCGTGACATATATCCGCCTGGAACAAATCATGTCACTGTGATACTTTGTGACATCGTTCTAAGATTGGAAGATGTTACGATTGAAGAATTTTTTGAGTTCGGATCGTTATGGACGAAAACAACGAATATTTATGTGAATGCTACGAATCTTTTAGACAAATTGACTGAGTAAAAGTAATGGAACAGGCCAATAACAGATATTCTGAAAATGAAATATTTGTAAAAAGAAATGGAAATTATTCAGAACTTACTTGATGGCGGTAATTGTACCAACCATTAGAACCAGCAACAAGTACCACCCAGCTTTCCCCATTTAAGTAGGGTTTTTCTGATAACTCATCATGTATACTTTCAGCACTGAAATATTTCAATGTGAAATTGATTAGTAAAGGAAAATTAGACTTCTTATTTTTAAGAAGGAATTTTTCGTCTACAAATTAGTTGGATATTTGCAGTATGAGGATGGATTATGAATTATCGAGAATGATAGGAAGAAGTAATAGGAAATTGATAAAAAATAAGTAAGAAGAAATATTAGTCAAAAAATATACCGGAAATGTTTGAAATTGACGGAATGCACGGATGTGAGGAGAAGAAATGCGATCATTATGCAGATCAATAGCATTTTCATTGAATGCATCCTCCGTCGGCTTATCAATGGATACTACCAGCAGGAAACACCACTCAAGTGAGATAGAAGCAAAATTGATATTGATCTTTATCAGCTAACGACCAGCTTATCACTCTATTGTTTTTTAAAGGGATGATTAATGCGATGGAATGTACTTTAGAATACGTTTCGGATTTTTTTTTACGGCCGTGTCTCTGATTTTTTCAGTCATCGGCAACTGCTATTAAACAAAGCAATTGGACAGTGTTAATAGCATTCTCAGAAGTGATAGTTTTCCAATGCACAATTTGCTGTCTTACTCTCTCCTGATGGACATGCTAATTGAATGGCCACTCAGTGGTCATGTTCTGTAAATAAACCCTATGATTCAGTGATTAATGCATCCCTTGAACTGAAGCGTAGGTATGCCACATAACTTGTACTTTTCAGATCAAATTTCACTAGCCGTGATAGTCGTGAATTGTTACGTATGACAATATAAGCTTGTCAAATTGTTAGCATTCCTTTAACCTCAGCCTTCTTTGTATAAGGACACTGAACACTTTACTCTTTGTTACTTCCAGATATCAAGCCAAAATGCTGACAAAATAAGTGCTAAAATTGATGTTAGCGGATTGAACTATGCAAAGCCATTTGAAACAACTCATTCATTTCAAAAATGCTTAACGTTATGCTGGAAATTTTGAGAATTTATGAAGTTACATCATTCCCTCACTGATAATGATATCGCTGATTTCAAAGACTTATGTCAAAAAATCTTTGAAAAAATGGAATCAGAAGTATTATTACGGAATTATTACAAAGATGCTGAAAATGGCAAGATTTTTAAATGTTGAAAAGAATAGCTGTCCCAGAGAATGTCACATTAGAGGAGTAGTATGAGTCATCATTGCAAACACAAACTATCATGTCAATAAGTGAGAGTTAAATAGATTGTTGTAAAGATGAATAATGTTGAGATACAAAAAAAAAGAAGTCTGGCCGAATATTTAATGAATAAAATTGATCTTTAACCCGGCATTTTTATATTCATAGTTTTTCCCCAAAAACTCAGAACAAACGACATTTGTTATGTTCATCAAATCGTTGTTACAACCCGTTTGTTGATCGTTGTAAATATGTTTGAATTATTATTATTTTGCAGTAACTTGCATAGAAAGAAATCTTCTGATCCCAGACATTTCACTATCATATTTGTCGATATAATTTGTCGAAACATGCATAAAATGTATGGGTAATGATTGATATTCCTTAATGAGATATTTTGAGTGGATCTAATTATCATCGTCCACTAGTATCTGAGGCACTCCAATTGAACCATATGCACTCAGACATACTTATCCAGTGTTTTTTGTGTACCCTGCTGTGGAGTACCCTTTGGGTACTTTATGCTTTCCAGATGGTAACCTTTAACCTTTGTATTCCTCTTGTATTTCTCCCTTTGCGTTATTTGTCTGGAAAATGAGTAAACATCTTTAAATTTAGTCTACCATATATTAAATTTTTTGCACGTTTTTTTTCATGTCAAAAGCCTTTGATGACATAAATTAAAAGTGAAAAAACAATATGAAGAAGCGCATTGTAGTGAGCAGAAAAAGTACAATCTAATGTTTATATGTGTAACTCATAGCTGACAAAGTGTGTGCGCAAAAATCCTTTGTACAATAATAACAATGACAAATACATATACAACAAGCTCTGTTTGGAAAGGGCCATGGAAAATTTAAATCGTAAAATGACAAGAATCTATCCAAAGTACGGTCTAAATGTTCGAAATTTTCTACTAATTCTAATAGTTAAATTTTCACTCTCATAATTCCACAATCATACATGTGTGCATATTGCTTTTGGACAATTAATGCCGTATACAAAACCAGTGAATAATTAATTAAACATTAAAGAAGAGGAAAGAACATTCCTAAGCTCATAAAAAGTCTCTGGAAAAGAAGACACCACATAAAAAAAAAGTCTGGAAAGAAGATATAACAAGATTTCACTTCAACTTTATGGATAACTTCCAGGTGAAGTTCGAAATTTCTCATGCAACTAGCGAAAGACAAGTAAAGCCTATAAAAATATCTTGCAAAAAGAATTTATTCCTTTAATTTAAACTTGTTGTAGAAATTTAAGTACATCTCTCAAACATATGTATGGATGACATTTCCATTTGAAATATTATCATTTGAAGGAAAAGGTAAAATCAAAATAAGCTAAAATATGAAAACAAAAAATGGCAATGAGAATCAACCTCTGTAACGCAAAAATATACAAATTATGCCTAAATAATAACAAATTGTTGTGCATAATAGAAAAAAATTTGAAGTTGCATAAATTTACAGAAATTGAGGTATTTTTCAAAATAAAAACAAATGTTTCGTCTTAGATAATGTTTAGATAACAGAAACATCATCAGGATGAACTAGATTTCCGGAAATGACTATTCCATACTCCCGAACAGAACTTCTCTGTTTTTTTGGGTCTGAAATCTTTGGGAATTAGATAAATTGCGGATGTATCTCGATAAATTATAAAATAATTCGGAAGAAAAGTTTAGACATAATAATAACAACAATATAATGATCCGACAACTTGCAACAGATTTTTTGAAAAGGAAATAGTATCTATCGCCCAATGAAATTCAATTTTGTAGATTTGAAAAGAATGATTCAGAAGTATCACCTGTTTTCATCGGTGTATTAAAGATTGGAGGTGGATGCTGTATAAGAACCAAATTCGATCAATTATCACTCCTAGTGATAATAATCCTTTTGATCCCTTTCCTAACGTTGGGAGTACGATGGAAAATTCATATAATTTTGAAAAGTTTGTAAGAGATGCTGTTTCCTTCTCGTTTAAAAAACGACAATTAAAATAAATGAGATCAACAAGACTATAGGAGCTCAAAAAAAAAAAATAAATAAAGAAAACTTTAAACCTTTTCCGGTAAAACGGGTGTACTGTAGCCCTGATAGTGCCGTATTGCTTTGTTATACATATGTGGTGTTATACAATCACTTCGAGCATAGATTATATCTGCTGCTTGATATTTATGCTTTGAAATTGTCGACTTATGCAGGCAACACAGTGCACGTTTCCAGCTCTAAAAATTATAAACTATAAAATTGAAATTTGAAAAATTGAGGCAACAGAGATGGGAAATTAAACGATAGTGGACAGTGTATTAATTCATTCATCTTTTCCTATTAAATAGTTTGGTTACTTTGTAATTGCTGCAATAAGTATCTTAATGATGCGAGAAAGATAGTCGAGATATCTGAAATTAATCAGGAATTCTCTAGCCAAATCAGTATCATAACTATAACCAATTAGCTACTCTTAGACTTTCATATTGAATTTTATGTTGTTATTGTTGTAAAAGGGTAATGCTTCACAATAGTAAAATTTTAGAGATTGTTGAGCTCAAACTTTCAAAGAAGTTCATTTTTTTCCTTCCTTTGTAATGTTTTGAAATGGTGCTAAGGGAACTCTGAAAGAAAATCTGTTTGTCCCATTTTTCAGCAATTGACTACGATAATAAAGAAGAACCATTTAAAATTCAATAACAAATTATCAGTTGATAAAAAACCTGAATTGTTTTTCGCGAAATAATCCAAACACCTGAAGTCCAACCAACAACAAGCATCGATGCACTTTTTATCAATGCTAACAACATAAATGTGTCCGCTGGAAAAATTGATTATGAAATTAAGCATTATCAACAATTTTTTATAAAATTTTGTCTAAATTTCAAAGCAAAAATGCAGAAACACCTCATAGGAAGAGTTAAAATAATTACGTGAATTACATAAATTGAAGAGTAATTTTTATTGAGTAACAGAAATAATAACCAACTATACCTTGTTGATCGAACTGTTCTGCGCAATTGCATAGTTGGGATTGTTCCCACAACGGGCGATAATATTGCTCATAGGATAGTACCATGAGAACAAATATAGCTGGTACAATGTAGAGTACGGAGAAGATGCCAATTTTGGACATAAGTTGCGTCATTTTCGATGTATTGTCACCACCCGGATGGTGTTTCTGCATTAGGGAACGTATGCGCCATAGATTAAAAAAGCCGACAGCCAAGAAGCAGACACCAATGATAAGATATATTGTCAGGGGAGCTGAATACATCACTGTTATATCAATGTTCTCCAGAATTTGAAAAAAGATTGCACTCATTTATGCAAATTACTTAGCATTTGAAATTAATTTAAGTTTGTCATTAATATTCTCATGATTTATTTGAAAATTTACAAATATACAATTGAAAATCATTCTCTCTCGGAAGAAACTTACCAAGAACAAAAGTTTT